ACCCCCGGGGGTTCAGAGCTCAGGGGGTCGAGGCTCCTTCCCCGAGGCGGTGACACCGCAGGGGACAAGGCTTGGGTGTCACCGCCAGCCGCGGGGCTTGTGCCGGTGACGAGGGGAGACCCCCAGAGTGTGTTTGGGACAGAACGGGACCCCCGGAACGCAGACCCCCCCTCAGCCGAGCGCTGCTTCCCTTCTGTCCCACTCCCCATGGCAGTGACAGCGCTTGGGGACACCGGACCCGCCAGCCCCGGGGACACCCGGTGGCGGGAGGGAAGCCGGGCACCCCTCGGCCCCAGAGCGGCGTGGGGAGCACTCGGTATTAAATACAGCTGGGGGAATAATAAATAGGCAATAAATAGCGATAAATATGGGGGGACAAGGCACAGGGACACACTGCAAAGGCACAGGGACACACTGCAAAGGCACAGGGACACACCGCGGCGTTGTCCCGTGGTGCTGACAGCAGGAATGGGAATTGGGGCGCTCCCAGCCCCCCCTGCTCTGCTCCATGTCCCGCCCAGGACGCAGCAGGGTCTGGCAAAGCCCCCCTTGTGGGGTCGGGGCCATGGCAGCCGCTCCTCTGTGTCACTTCCCCGCTCGCTCCTTGTGCGACTCCGTCACCACTTGCTGCAAGAGGAGAATTTGGGGATCAGCGCCGTGGCAGGGTGGGGCCTGCCAGGCAGGGCACCCCCACTTCTCACCTGCCCGTCCCGGGTCTCGATGGTTTTGATGAGCACCATCCTCCGTGGCGGGCTCTCTGCAGGCTGCGGCTCCAGCACTGGGCACAGAGGGGCCATCAGCACCCCGTGCCCTCCCAGACACCCTGGGCAGGAGCACAGGGACCCACCCGGGGTCTTTACCCCCAAGGAAAGACCCCCAGACATCGTGGGGGACCCCCAGCTCGTGGCTCACCTGAGCTCCTGGTGCTGAAGGAGGTGCTGGGGTGCAGTGGGATGGTGATCCTGGGTGGGGAGAGGGGCATGAGGAGGGGCTGCGACCCCCGGACAGTGCCAGTGACCCTTCCACACCCTCGAGGCCGTGAGCCACATCCCAGCTCGGCCGGGGGCTGTGCCCGTGGGCTGCCAGGCTGGCACCCGGAGCAGAGCTGGAGGCAGCTCCCCCGCCATCCCCTGGCCTTGCTTTTATCTCTGCTCCCACGGGAACCTCTTGTTTCCCTGCGGGACCAAGGCCTGGAGCCGCCTCCTCCCAGGAAAATCCCACAATAACCGGGATGACTCAAGGCAGGGGGCATCCCCCCCGGGCAGCGGGGACGCTCCGTGTGCCAGGCTGCCCTCACCGGCTCTCCTCGCCCTCCAGCAGCTTGCGGTACGTGGCAATCTCGATGTCCAGGGCCATCTTGACGTTGAGCAGGTCCTGGTACTCGCGCAGGTGCCGCGCCATCTCCTCCTTCATCTGCTGGATCTCCTGCTCCAGCCTCCCCACCACATCCTGGTAGTTCCCGATCTCCTCCCCGAACTCATCCTCCATCTCCCGCATCTGCCGCTGCAGCGCCTCGTTCTGCGGGGGGAGGACGGGGCTGCAAAGGGCCGGGGTGGGCTCTGCTTCCTGCACCCCCCCGAGCGCTCCCCGGCTCTCACCACGCCCTTCAGCCCGTCCACCTCGCACGTCAGGCTCTGGATCTGCCGGCGGGACTCGTTCATCTCCTGCTTGGCCAGCCGCAGCGCCTCGTGGTTGCGGTTCGCAGCATCCGACAGGTCGGCAAACTGCGCGGGCAGGGCGAGTCGGGGCTCCGGGACGGCTCAGCCGCCCCAAAATCCCTCCCAGCCGCGGCTACCTTGGACTTGTACCACTCCTCGGCTTCCTGCAGGTTCTTGACGGCGATGCTCTCGTACTGGGTGCGGATCTCCCGCAGCGCAGCCGTCAGCTCCGGCTTGCACACCTCCACCTCGGCCAGCCCCGCCGCGCTCGGCCCACTCACCTCCAGGTCCCGCAGCTCCTGCGGGGGTGCGTGGCCGTCACACCGTGGCACAAGGAGCTGAGCTGCGCCCCCTCCCCGCCCCATCGCCCCCCGGCCCCACCTCCTCGTGCAGCTTCTTGAGGAAGCCGATCTCGTCCATCAGCAGCTCGACCTTGCGCTCCAGCTCCAGGCGGGACAGCGTGGCGTGGTCCACGTCCTGCGGGAGAGGCCGGGGTGAGCTGCGGGGCAGCGTGGAGGGATGCCACGATCCTGGAGCCCCTCCCCGGGGAGGTGATGGTGATGACAGGCAAAAGCTCAGCCCTCCCAAACCACGGTTTTGTCCTGGCTCGCACAGGGCTGACCCAGCATCACCCCAAACTCCAGCTGGAGACACCCAGGGAGGTGTGGAGGGACCAGACTGGGGCTGCCACTGTGCTCAGCCTGGGGGTACCATGGACACAGCGGCTGCTCAGCTCTGGGGGTCCCATCCTGGCCCACCAGGGAGGTGTGGAGGGGCCAGAGTAGGGGTACCAGTGTGCTCAGCCTGGGGGGACCACGGACACAGCGGCTGCTCAGCTCTGGGGGTCCCATCCTGGCCCCCCAAGGAGGCGGGACCCTGCACTGCTCGGTGCCATTCGTGCCACCAGCACCCTGAATTGGGGTTCCCCATGGTCATTCCCGTGCCCACCATTCCCAGTCCCCCCCAGCCACACATCACCAGTACTGCGCGGGGAGACGGGCCCGCCAGCCCCCTCACCTTGCGGAACAGCACCAGACTCTTCTCGGCATCCTCACGCTTCTGTGTCTCGTCCACCAGCCTGGGGACAGCAGGGGATGAGAGGGAGGTGGGGATGCAGACCCCCTCCGCCTGTTGCACACACAGCGGAGGCGATGGACGGAGCGTCCCCAGTGTCCCCACCCTCGCCCTGCCCCTCCCAGTGCCCCGCCCTTCCGCAGAGCCCGCATCACCCAGTGCCTCCCAGTGCCTCCCAGTGCCCTCCGCGCATCCCGGGTGCCTTTCCCAGTGTCTGCTGCTCGTATTCCTTCCCAGGGATCCCCTTTCCCGGACACTCACCAGTCCCTACCCCGGGGCTCCCCCATCCCCATCCCGCTGCATCCTCCGCTCCCCATCCTGGTGCAAAGTCTCATCCCATCACATTCCTCATGCCAGTCTGGCACATTCCCCCGTCTCCATCCCATGCATAACTCATCCTGACACACCCCCGGTTCCCACTGCAGCTCATCCCTCATCCCACTTAATCCTAGTTCGTCCCTTATCCCAGTACATCACTTGTCCCAGTTCATCCCAGTTCATCCCTCATCCCAGTTCACCCCTCATCCAAGTCCATCCCAGTACATCCCAGTTCATCCCAGTCCATCCCAGTTCATCCAGATCCATCCCAGTCCATCCCTCATCCCAGTTCACCCCTGTTCATCCCAGTCCATCCCAGTCCATCCCAGTTCACCCCTCATCCCAGTTAATCCCAGTTCATCCCAGTCCATCCCAGTTCATCCCAGTCCATCCCAGTTCATCCCAGTCCATCCCAGTTCATCCCAGTTCCCTCATCCCAGTTCACCCCCCATCCCAGTTCATCCCAGTCCATCCCAGTTCATCCCAGTCCATCCCAGTCCACCCCTCATCCCGCCGCGGGCCCACCGCTGCCGCAGGGCCGCCAGGTCTGTGGCGAGCCCGTCGCGCTCCGCCTGGAGCCGGTCCCGGTCGCGGCCGAGGCGCTGCAGCCGCTCCCGCAGCCCCCGCAGCTCGCCCTGCACCAGCCCGGTGCGGGGCCCGGTGGCGGCGGCGGCGCGGCCCAGGGCGGCGCGGAGGGTCCCGTTCTGCCGTTCCAGCGCCCGCACCCGCTCCAGGAAGGCGGCGAAACGGTCGTTCAGCGCCGCCAGCTCCTCCCGCTCCGCGCCCCGCGCTGCCGCCGCCTCCGCCAGCCGCCCCGGGGCCACGGGCAGCGGCGGCGGCATCCCGGGGGCGCGGTCACGGCGGCTCATGGTGGCACCGGGAGGGCGCTGGCTGCCGGTAGCGGCTGTTTATAGCGGACAGCGGCTCCGCCCCGCCGGGGGGACCCGGGGGTACGGGACGGAGAGAGGGGAGGGGTCTCCCGGCCGCAGGGAGGATGGGGGGCTGCGGATGTCCCCGCGAGGGGGCGGGGAAAGGGGCTGGGGGTGGTCGGGGATACCCCTGGGGATGAGGGGAGGGGGCTGCAGGATGTAGGGCTGCGGGCATTCCCCTTCGGGGGGACTCGGGGACCCCCGAGGGATGCAAGGCGAGGGGCTGGGGGGTGCAGGCAGAGGAATCGAGCAGCACCAGGGGGAAGGGGGAGAGGATCCGGGGGTGCCCGGGAGACACAGGAACCCCCCCACACTGGGTCAGAAGGAGAGAGACCCTTATGGGGTCCCCCCCAGGTAGCATGGGGGTGCAGACCCCCCAGGTGCGATGCAGAGGGGGCTGCAGGGCTCAGGCAGAGCACCCCTCTGAGTGGTGGGGAGGCTCGGGGGGCTCAGCATCCAGGGAGGGGGGGCTCTCATCACCCCCCTCCCTTTCTGTCGGGGCAGCACCGTGACTCGGCGCTGCGGGAGCTGCCATGCGCGGGGCAGCGAGCTCTGCAACCCCCCCGGAGCCCCCCCTTTCCGGGCAGCCAGGGGGGCGGCACTGACGGGAAGGAGTCGGTGCCCTGCCCAGAGGCTGTGGGGAGGGTCCCCCCCGCCCAGGACCCCCTCCCAGCTCTGCAGAGCGCCGCACTGAGAGTGGCTCCGTGCCAGCAGCAGCATGACACCACGGTCTGCACCAAGGACTGGGCAGGACACTGGGGGCTCTCAGGGGGTCCCCCCTCACCTGGTGACCTCCAGGGCCAGCAGAATGCTGAGGACGACATGAGCCCCCCACCACTGCCAGCTCAAAGGACCCAGCCAGGGACCCCAACCCCACACAACCCCCCAGCCTCACCCAGCACAGCCCCTGTGCCAGCTGGCAGCAGGGCCGGGCAGCCAGCCCAGCTGAGCCCCCCCCCTCCCCTGGGATGTCCCCCCAGGTCACCACGAGGCGGATTGTCCCAGCACAATGAAGCAGGCAGCAGGGGAAAGAGGCATTTTAATGAACAGCACCACAGTGTAGACACAAGGCACTAGTATTCCTCTCCCTCCTCATCGCCCTCCAGGCTGTCAGCTCCCACCTCCTCATAATCCTTCTCCAGGGCAGCCATATCCTCGCGGGCCTCCGAGAACTCGCCCTCCTCCATGCCCTCCCCCACGTACCAGTGCACGAACGCCCGCTTGGCGTACATCAGGTCAAACTTGTGGTCCAGGCGGGCCCAGGCCTCGGCGATGGCCGTGGTGTTGCTCAGCATGCACACAGCCCTCTGCACCTTGGCCAGGTCGCCCCCGGGCACCACCGTGGGCGGCTGGTAGTTGATGCCAACCTTGAAACCAGTGGGGCACCAGTCCACAAACTGGATGCTACGCTTGGTCTTGATGGTGGCGATGGCGGCGTTGACATCCTTGGGCACCACGTCCCCGCGGTACAGCAGGCAGCACGCCATGTACTTGCCGTGGCGAGGGTCACACTTGACCATCTGGTTGGCCGGCTCGAAGCAGGCGTTGGTGATCTCGGCCACCGAGAGCTGCTCGTGATAAGCCTTCTCAGCAGAGATGACCGGGGCGTAGGTGGCCAGCGGGAAGTGGATGCGGGGGTAGGGCACCAGGTTGGTCTGGAACTCTGTCAGGTCGACGTTCAGGGCTCCGGCTCAGCTCTGGGGGTCCCGTCCTGGCCCCCCAAGGAGGCGGGACCCTGCACTGATCGGTGCCATTCGTGCCACCAGCACCCCAAATTGGGGTTCCCAGGGTCATTCCCGGTGCCCACCATTTCCAGTCCCCTCCACCCACGGGTTACACAGGGACAGGGACACTTCAGCCCCTTCCCCAGGGGGCTGCTCATCACTTCGGGGGCAGCCTTGGAGCCCACGCAACGCGGAGCCGCTCCCTCCTCCAGCAGCCCTCGCACAAGCCCGGACTGTCCCGGTTCAGCTCCACCCGGGCCAGAGCAAACTCCGGTGACCGGGAGGACTTTCCCCGTGCCAGCCGCTCCCGGCTGTGCCCGGGCCACGTTGGGATCTGCCCCCCCCTCCCCCGCCGTGACTCACACCCACGCGTGTCCCGGCGAGCAGAACCGGGACGGGTTGGCACGGGGGGTGCCCCCAAACCCCCTCGCGGCCCGTTCCTCCCCCGAGGGGGGCTGTGGGGACGGGTTTAGGACCCGCGTGGGAGCCCAGCACACGCAGTGCCACCCGGCGTGTCCCCACGCATTTAGCAGGGAGCCCGGGGGGGATCGGCACGGAACGAGGGTGGGACCACCCCGGGCAGCGACCCCCGGCTGGGGGAAGCCCCCGGCCCCGGGGGACACACGCACCCCCACCTCAACTCCTGCCCAGCACCCGCAAGAACTCAGCAGCCCCACGGGGCGTCCTGAACACGCGAGGAGCCCCAAAACTCCTCCCGAGCACGACCCCACGTGCTGCAGGGGACATGGGGGGATCCCGGCCGCTCAGCCCCTCGTTCTGCTCGGGGGGTCCCGCACTCCCGGGGGTCCCACCGGGCGCGGAGACCCCCAGGACCCCCGCACGCCCCCAGCCTCACCATGGCCGCTCGCTGCCCGAACTGTTACGAAGCCGTCGAGGAGGGAGGCGGGGGTCGCCCCGTGGGGCCCCCGAGTTATACCCCGGGGGCGGGGCTGGGGCAGGGGGAGGGGCCAGCCGGGGCTTTGCCCCGCCCCTTCGAGCCACGCGGCGCTCTGGACACGCCCTCCCCGCCCCGCCTCGATCCTGATTGGCCGGTTCGAAAGTCGGAGAGGGTGCGTGGGTGGTGACGTCAGCGGAGAGGAATGCGGTGGGCGGGAGGCGGAGAGGGGGCGTGGTCTAGCGGGGAGGTGGGCGTGGTTATGGGCGGGGAAAGGGGCGGGGCAGAGAGCTTTAGGAGGTGCTTTAGAGGCGGGGGGTTTTGCGGTATTGGGGCGGTGGGCTCAGTCGGCGGCAGGACGGGTCCCTGAAGCCCCCGGCCGCAGCCTCAAGGAGCGCCCCGTCCCCACCTGGGTGGGAGAGGTCTCGGGGGTCCCGTAATCCCCGTGCCCATCCCGGTGCCGTTCCCGTGGGAAGCCCCGCGGGCTCCCGTCGCGCCGGCTCCTGTGCTCGCCGCCGCCCCGCTCCGTGCCAGCCCCGGGGCTGCTCCCCGGGGGAACCCACGCGGGGCAGGTCCTGTGGGGCAGGACGGACGGGGCCGGGGCAGCAGCTCACGCCCACCCCCGGGGTGCAGGGCCCTGTCCCAGCCTGCCTGCCCCGCTCCGGGCTGGTTTGAGGCGGGTACGAGTCGCGTTCCAAAGGGTAGAGAGGGGTTTGGGACAGCTTGGGGACATTGGGGACAGCCCCGAGACGGAATGACAGACCCCACGCTCGCCGGTGTCACGCCAATCCCTGGGCACCCCTCACAGCCTGGGCACCCCAGTGTCCCCCCCCAATCACTCCCAGTGTCCCCCCCAGTCACTCCCAGTGTGCCCTGACAGCCTGGGCACCTCAGTGTCCCTCCCCTCCCTGAAGACCCTCAGTGTGTCCCCCCAGTCACTCCCAGTGTCCCCTCACAGCCTGGGCACTCCCAGTGTCCCCCCCAGTCACTCCCAGTGTCCCTTCACAGCCTGGGGACCTCAACATCCCCCCGCAGTCACTCCCAGTGTCCTCTCATACCCTGGGCACCTCAGTGTCCCCCCGTCCCTGAGGACCCTCAGTGTCCCCCCCAGTCATTCCCAGTGCCCCTTCACAACCTGGGCACCTCAGTGTCCACCCCCCGTGCCTGAAGACCCTCAGTGTGCCCCCCCCAGTCACTCCCAGTGTCCCTCACACCCTGGGCACTCCCAGTGTCCCCCCTCCCCGAGCCCCCGGTGTCCCCCCGCTGCCCGGGCACACCCTCGGAGCTGGCACACGCCCGGGGCCGGGGTGCCCGTTGTCCCAGCAACACCCACCCGTGAGCCCCCGGAGCCCCCCGAGACACCACCACGCCGGTTCCGGGGGCCCTGCTGGGGCTCAGGGGGTGCTTTGGGGGGGCCGGGCCGAGGGCGGACCCCGGAGGGGGCGGCAGGGTCTGTCCCCCCTCACCCCCACCCCTCCGCTCCTTTATTCCCGGCTTTGCCGCATTGCGGAACCGCCCCGCACGCAGGCGGTGCCGCAGCCCCCTCCCCACGGGCGGCGCGCCCGCAGCCCCCCGCACCCCACGGTGCTCCCCCGCGCTCCCCCTGCCCCACGCGGCGCCCCCCCCATTCCCAGGACCGCGTGTCCCTTTTGTTGTGGCTCCGGGAGGGGGCACGGGGACACCCAGGCTGCGGGAAGAGCGGTGACACCCCCCTGCTTCCTCCCACGGGTCACCCGCTGTCCCCAACCCCGGGGCTGGGGGATTCCCTCTGCCCTCCGGGTGGGGCGGGGGCGCGGTCAGGGGTGGGTGCCACCCCCCCGTGGGTGCAGCCCCCCCTGTGCCACCCTGCGTGGTGGGACCCCTCCAGCACACCGCGGCCTCATCGGGCACCCCGGAGAGGAGCTGATCCCCCCCGAGCTGCCCTGTCTGTCCGTCTGAATGAACCTGTCACATCGATGGTGGCAGCGGATGGACGGACAGACAGACGGAGCTGGGTTCTGCGGGAAAACAGGCTAAAAATAGCAGCAGCCTCTGTCTGGGTTGTCAGCCCCGAGCCACGATGGGGCTGAGACCCTTCGGTTACCGGGGACGGCGTGTCCCAGCCGTGGGGCTCGAGGTCACCAATTTGGGATCCTCAGGCAGGGCACAGAGCGGGGGAGGCTGGGAAGCTCAGCCGTGCCCCGGGCGGGAGTCCAGCAGCCGGGAAATCAGCCCACGCAGGAGGAGATGCCAGCTCTGGGAGCCCCCCGAGTCACCCAGCCCGGGGGGGGGACACTCTGTGCAGACAGAGGGGACCCCAGGGGTGCCCGGGGTCTGTCCCACCCAGCAGAACCAGGGGGGTGGACATGGCGGGGGGAGGACAGCAACCGTCACCAGGAGCCACCACGTTGCTACCAACAGTCAACAGAGCGCAGGGGAATGGAAGAACTGGAGCTGGGGGGGCTGGGAGCCGTGCCAGACCCCCCCACGCCGGCACTCAGCAGGGCTGGATACTGGGGGAGGGCAGGGTGGGCACTGGGGGACCCCAGGGCCTGTGTGCCCCCCACCTTGGCACAGCAGAGTGATCAGCACTGGGGGTCCTGTGCCTCAAATGTGGGGTCAGGCACTGGGGGGGCCAAGGATGGTGGGGTGAGGAACTGGGGGTCCCAAGGATGGTGGGGTGAAGCACTGGGGGTCCCGAGGACGGTGCCCCATCCTCAGTATCAGGAACTGGGGGTCCCGAGGATGGTGCCTCACCCACAGCTGAGTGGGGTCAGGCACTGGGAGTCCCAAGGATGGTGGAGTGAGGCAGTGGGGGTCTCAAGGACAGTGCCCCATCCTCAGGATCAGGAACTGGGGGTCCCAAAGTTGGTGCCCCACCCTTGGGGTGAGGAACTGGGGGTCCCAAGGACAGTGGGGTGAAGCACTGGGGGTCCCAAGGATGGTGGGGTGAGGCACTGGGGGTTGTGAGGACCCTGGGACCCCCACTCGGCTGGGGGTGAGGCACCCAAGGACAGTGCCTCACCCCCAGCGGAGTGGGGGTCCCAGGGATGGTGCCCCACCCTTGGGTCAGGCACTGGGGGTCCCAAGGACAGTGCCCCATCCTCAGGATCAGGAACTGGGGGTCCCAAAGTTGGTGCCCCACCCTTGGGGTGAGGAACTGGGGGTCCCAAGGACAGTGCTCCAGCCTCAGGATTGGGAACTGGGGGTCCCAAGGATGGTTCCCCACCCTTGGAATCAGGCACTGGGGGTCCCAGGGATGGTGTCCTTACCATGATGACAAGGCCAGGCAGTGGTGGGAAGCCGGCCTTGTCTGCCTGCAATCCCCCGCCCACCAGGCCCCAGGATGGATGTTGGGGAAGGGGGATACGAGGGGGGTCCCAGCCCGTCTCCTAGCAACCGGTCTCCTAGCAACCGCGCCGGTTGCCTGGCAGCAGCGGGTGCGGGACGTGTGGCTGTCCCTACCCAAGGAGATGGGAGGGGGCTGCGGGGTGCCAGCGGGGCTGCAGCACCCAGTGCCCCCCGCCCTGCACCCCACAGCACCCACCGGGGCTGTGCCACCCCTGCCCCACGAGGCTCCTCCCGCCCTCAGCTCGGGGCAATAGCTTGGAGAGTGATCCCTGAGTGAGGGGGCTGCTGTGAGCCCCCAAAACCCCCGGTTTGGGTGGGGACACCATGGGGACACCCTGGCAGCCTCCACACTGCTGCTGAGCACTTGAGGCTGTAGGGGGACAAAGGCAGGAGGCATTTCCCAGGCAGGGATGGACTTACAGCGGGGTCAGGGCGGGGGGCTGAGCTGCTCTGGGGTCAGGGTGCCCCAAAACAGACATCTGCCACGGGGACCAGCCTGGTGGGAGCCAAAATTCCTGGTTTTTCTCTACTCAGCAAAGCCGGGGCCACCTGGTCCTTTGTTCTGGTGGGCGATGCCCAAATCCCATCCCCTCTTTGTCTGCAGCTCTGCAGCCCCAGCAGCACCCCAAAAACAGGGCACCCCAGGGACATGGGGGTGGCAGTGGGGACACGGGGATGGTGGTGGGGACATGGGCTGGGCAGCAGGGACGTGGGAACCTTGGTTCTGCCCAGAAATCTGCATCATGTGGGAAACACCGGGGGAAAAAAACAGGGATTTCTCAGCAGGGGGGGCATCCCGGCAGCTCCACCTGCAGCAGCTGGGGCCATGCATGTGGTGGGGGGGTCACTGAGCCCCCCAGCACCCCCTGGCATGGGGACACGACCCCCACCCTCTGTGGGCTTTGCAAGAACAAACAGGAGGGGGAAACCCCCCCTAGGAGTGGGAAATCCCAGGGCTTTGGGGCTGGTGGCTCGGGGGGGCTGCAGCAGATGGAGGGGTGGCCGGGGGACGCGTGTCCCGGTGTCCCAGCTGTGTCCCAAGCACCAGCTGCCGCACAGCAGCTGCTGCTCTGTCCGAGCCCCCAGCCCAAAACTGCCCTGGGGGGTTTTGTCCCCTGTGTCCTCCCGCTGTCCCTCACCACCCCCCCCGGCCCTGCTCGTCCCCAGCTGCCCGGGGGGATGAGTCTTTGTCCCCAGGCTGGGCCCCGCAGCGCTGGCTCCCACTGCCCGAGCAGACAAAGAGGCGCTGGAAGGGCTGGGCAGGCAGGGAAGGGGCCGGGACAGGCACAGGGCCATGGCAGGGACACGGCTCAGAACCAGGGCACTGTGGCACGGCCAGGGATGGGGACAGCGTCCCTTGGGATGGGCACAGGGCTTGGCCAGGGATGAGAAGTGTCCCCGAGGATGGGGACCAGGGCGTGGCTGGCTGGAAATGGGGGCCAGAGTGTGACAAGGGATGGGAACAACGGGATGGCCGGGGACAGGGACCAGGGTGTGGCCGGGGATAACCGGGAGCTCGGGCAGCGGCCACACAAGGGGGAGGGCTCCATCACCGCGGATGGGCACCAGGGCCGTGTACCGGGAGCCCCGGGACCCATTCGGGGCAGAAGGGGAGAACGGGAAGAACGGCGGGACTTGGGAAAAGGTGTCCGTGGGGGGATGGGGACCGTGGGATGGGGACCGTGGGATGGGGACCCGAGCGTGACCGCTGGCTCAGCCGAGACCGGGGACCGGGGCGTGGCAGGGACGGTGCCAAGGACACAGCCGGGGCCCCTCCGGCGGCGGGCGGGAGGCGGCGGCGGGGCCGGGCCGTGGCCGCCGCAGCCCCCGGGCCCCCCCTCCCGCACCGCCCGGCCTTTGTCTGCGGCTGCGGGGGGGCATTACCTCATCCCGGGCGACCAATGGCCGCCGCTGCCGCCGGCCCCGCCGCCCCCCCGGGCCCGCCCCGCCGCCGCTATAAAGCCCCGCACCGAGCCCCGCGCTCCGCCGCGCCTCTTACATCGACCGCCTCAGCGTCGGGCTGTGAGACCGCCCCGGACCGACCGCCGCCATGGTGAGGGGGTGCGGGGGGGTCGGCACTTTGTCTCTATTCCCACGATCCCTGTTCCCCGTTCCCGGCCTCATCCTTCCCTCCCCCGGAGCCGTGGTTTTCCCCGGTGCCAATCCCCACCCCTCCCATCGTAGTCTCCGGTTTTTATCCCCCGTCTCGCCGTTGTTTCTGGTTCCCAACCCCCCACCCCGATCTCCATTCCCGAGGGTTTTTTGTCCGCCCCTCCCGGGATGAGCTCTCGGCGCCGGGACTCCTCCCGCAGCGGGCGTGGCTCCCGTTACACCGAGTGAAATGTCCCTCCCGGGACCCAGCCCGAGTGTCCCTCCGGTTAAACGGGCCTGGAAGGGTCTTCCTGCCTCCCCGGGACCGAGCCCGCAGCGGGCGTGGCTCCCGTTAAACCGGGCAGGACGGGACCTCCAGGACTTAGGACTAAGCCTCCATAGGGCGTGGCTCCCGTTAAACCGGGCACGATGAGACCCCCGGGAGGCAGCACTGAGCTTCCATAGGGCGTGGCTCCCGTTGAACCGGCCAGGATGGATCCCTGGCGCTGATCCACGGTACCGCACCGGGCGTGGCTCCCGTTAAACCGGGCAAGATGGGACCCCCGGGACCGAGCCCCGAGCCCGAACCGGGCGTGGCTCCCGTTAAACCGGGCAGGATGGACCCCCGAGGCGCAGCACTGAGCTCCTGTCGGGCGTGCTATTGTTAAACCGGGAAGGATGGGACCCCCGGGACCGAGCCCCGAGCCCGAACCGGGCGTGGCTCCCGTTAAACCGGGCAGGATGGGACCCCCGGGACCGAGCCCCGAGCCCGAACCGGGCGTGGCTCCCGTTAAACCGGGCAGGATGAGTCCCCGGAGCTAAAGCCGTACTGGGCGTGGCACCGGCTGAAAGGGGCAGAATCGGGACCCCCATCTTTCGGTACCGAGCCACCGTCCGTCCCTGGGCGTGGCTCCCGTTAAACCGAGCAGGACAGACCCCCTTTTCCCCCCTGGCCCCGGTGCTGAGCCTTCAGCCTGCGCTGGGCGTGGCCCTGGTATAGTGAGGCAGAAAGTGTCCCGGGTGCGGGGTGGGCAGGGCGGATTGACCCCCCCTCAGTGCTGAGCACCCCATCCCGCACCAGAAGTCGAGGCACGGCAGGATGGGACCCCCGAGTCCCGCACTGGGCGTGGCCTTGCTTCGATTTGGGCTCGGGTGGGCAGGAGGAGCCCACGGTGCTGAGCCGCCCTGGGGCTTTGCCGGGTCTCACCAGGGCAGGGTGGGGCAGGATGGGAAGCCCGGGGCTCCCTGTGTCACTCTGGGTGCAGCCCCAGTCGCTCAGGGCAGGATGAGCCACAGGAGCTGAGCTCCCCATCCCCCACAGGCAGGGTGCCAGTAGTGATGGGCACAGGGCAGGATGGGACCCTCTGCACTGGGTGCACCCCCAGACCCCGAAAAATGGGTGTGTCCAGGCAGGGTCTGACCCCATCCAGTTTTGGGGAGAGACCCTCCCCAGCTCGGCGACAGCGCCGGGCTGGTGCCACAGCTGGGGAGGGGGACAAAAGAAGTGAGGCAGCGTGGTGTGCCCCCGCAGCGCGAGTGCATCTCCATCCACGTGGGCCAAGCGGGCGTGCAGATCGGCAATGCGTGCTGGGAGCTGTACTGCCTGGAGCACGGCATCCAGCCCGACGGGCAGATGCCCAGCGACAAGACCATCGGCGGGGGGGACGACTCCTTCAACACGTTCTTCAGCGAGACCGGAGCCGGCAAGCACGTGCCCCGGGCCGTGTTCGTGGACCTGGAGCCCACGGTGATCGGTGAGGGCGCGGGGGGCGGCCGGCGGGGCGGGCGCTGGCGGCGGGCGCCGGGCGCTAACGGGGCCCGGGGCTGTCCCCGCAGACGAGGTGCGCACCGGCACGTACCGGCAGCTCTTCCACCCCGAGCAGCTGATCACGGGCAAGGAGGATGCGGCCAACAACTACGCCCGCGGCCACTACACCATCGGCAAGGAGATCATCGACATGGTCCTTGACCGCATCCGCAAGCTGGTAGGGGCACGGGGGGTGCAGGTGGCGGGCGAGGACAAAGCCTCCATTCTGTGTCGCTCTCCCTTCCAGACTGGCTGGGCTGGGTTTAGATTTAATTTATTAATTAATGTTAATCCCGTTGTGCAGTGGCTGCCATTGGCCGGCAGCGGGACGCGGCGCAGCTGGAGCTGGAGCGGCTCCACAGCGCCGCAGCCCCCGGGCGCTGCCGGTGCTGAGCTCGGCAATTCCCTCTTTGTTTCCACTTGGCTCCTGACATGGCCGAGTCCAGCTGCGTGTGCTGGGGACAAGCAGCCCCGAGCCAGTCCCTCCTAGAGTCATGTGGCCGCGACAGTTCATGGTCAAACTAGTTCCCACTCAGCTGCTGAGCCAGAGGCAGTTCTGCACTTTGAGGTGCCCCTGAGCATTGTCCCACCCCAGAGGCCAAGCAGCTTCCCTGGGTGATTCACCGTGAGTCAGTGGGTAACAGATGGAGTCACTGCCACCCCGTCCCCCATCTGGCTCTGCTGCTGGAAAGCCCCCAAATGTCCTTGTGAGGCCACGGAGAGGAAGGAGTAGCTTCTGCTGCCTGGAGTAAACATGCCTCCCCACCTCGTCTCTCCTCACAGGCTGACCAGTGCACAGGGCTGCAGGGCTTCCTGGTGTTCCACAGCTTTGGCGGTGGCACCGGCTCTGGCTTCACCTCCCTGCTCATGGAGCGGCTCTCTGTCGACTACGGCAAGAAGTCCAAGCTGGAGTTCTCCATCTACCCGGCCCCGCAGGTGTCCACGGCCGTGGTGGAGCCCTACAACTCCATCCTCACCACCCACACCACCCTGGAGCACTCCGACTGTGCCTTCATGGTGGACAACGAGGCCATCTACGACATCTGCCGCCGCAACCTGGACATCGAGCGTCCCACCTACACCAACCTCAACAGGTTGATAGGCCAGATCGTGTCATCCATCACGGCCTCGCTGCGCTTTGATGGAGCCCTGAACGTCGACCTGACAGAGTTCCAGACCAACCTGGTGCCCTACCCTCGCATCCACTTCCCACTGGCCACCTACGCCCCGGTCATCTCTGCTGAGAAGGCTTATCACGAGCAGCTCTCGGTGGCCGAGATCACCAACGCCTGCTTCGAGCCGGCCAACCAGATGGTCAAGTGTGACCTGATGTACGCCAAGCGGGCATTCGTGCACTGGTACGTGGGGGAGGGCATGGAGGAGGGCGAGTTCTCGGAGGCCCGCGAGGATATGGCTGCCCTGGAGAAGGATTATGAGGAGGTGGGGGTGGATTCTGTGGAAGGGGAGGGAGAGGAGGAAGGGGAGGAATACTAAACTCCCAAGGGTGCTGCTGGAACAGGGAACATAAACTAGTTGAAGGCCCCGCGGGGTCTGTAGCAGTGTGTGCACCGCAGTCTGTCCTGTCAATGGTCTGTGCTTCAATGGAAAAGTCTGTGACGGACTCACCCGTCCTCTCCTGTGGGTCTGAATAAAAAGCATTCCCTGTCTTACCCTGCCTCTGTGTCTTCACTCCCTGTGGCGATGTCCCTGCCTGGCTTTGACGCTGTCCCCACCAGCACATGACACGGCCCTGCAGTCCCTGTGTGCACCCGGGGTCTCCTCCCTGTCCCCGAGCGTGTGCTGAGGGTTGTGGTGAGCTCAGCACTCTGCAGCCCCCCCAAACTGATCCTCCCAAACCCCTGCTCCTTCCTCATCCTGGTGGGCTCAGTGTTGTGCCCCCACCCCAAGGGAAGTGGAGAGGGTTGGGTTTTCTTAGTACCAGGAGTCAAGTGAGCCCCAGGTAAGCACATTGGGGGCCTTTAACTCCTCAGGGTGGGCTGGGGATGCCTGAAGCCCCCCAGTCTGGCAGAAGTCTTTGGTGTCTCTCCTCTTCCTGGGCAGGGGAGGGGCTGCATTGCCCTGGGGGTGGGGAGGGGATGCTCTGCCCACCACAGTGGGATTGCTGGGAATGAGGGCTCCCTTTATCCAGCCCGTGTCCTTCAGTTCCTCTGGCTCTTTCAGGGATGAGGAATTGGCCCAGCCACTGAGGGGGAGGGGGAAACATCACAGCAGCCCCCTTGAATGGGGGGAGCCTCTCCACCCTCCCTTTCCTCTGCTTTTACCCTGTCCCTCACGGCTCCACGCAGGGATAAATAATGAAGGGGAAGTTGAACACAGAGTGAAACTCGAGCGGGTGCTGCAGCTGGGGGGACCCCTGGGACCCTCATTTGTGGGGTGCACCCCTCCTCTCCTGCACGATGAGCTCAGGCCAAGCCGTGATGAGCAGCTCCTCGAGTCCATCAGCTCCTGGGAATTTGTGTTGTCAAAACAACTCCTTGATTGTAAGGAACGGCCTTGGGGAGTAACTTTTTTTTCTGAAGGACAACCCGAGTGCAACAACGTGTTTGTTATCGAGCTTTCAAAGGACGTTCCAAATTGTAGCCAGGATAGAAAATCAGGATGACTAAACAGCCAACGCTTGCAGTGTTATAAACAGCAGGGTCTGAGTGAGCCCCCCTGAGTTCACCCGGACCACAGCAGGCAGCAGAACTCTCAGGGACGGTGAACCCACAAATTTGGGATTCTCAGAGGGTGAGCAGAGCTTGGGCTGATCCCCCAGAACTCGGGGCTTGTTGAGAAGACACAAAGGCACCTGATGGCAATACTGAACTCAAGGTGGATTTTTCACAGGTATTTACACCCATACTTGCTGTTCAGGTATGTGTGTGTGCAAGAGTGAATATTCTGTAGCAAATGTTGCTGTCAGATTCCTTCCTAAGTGCTTTAGATTCATAAATAAAACAGGTCTGTGTGTTACTATTGTGCCTATAATAAATTTTATATTAATATTTTGGTGAATTATTGAAATTAAACTCGGATTAAGTGCTCTTAAGCCTTTAGGCTTAAACTGTTGGTTAAGCCCAGGGCTCAGTTTGACAATGGGGCAGGGGGTCCACTCTGCTCCTTCTGACTCAGTGGGAAAATCTTAATTATTATTCAATTTTATATTTTTTTTCCTATCCCCAGCCTCCCTTAAGGCCATTTTTGGCCAAATCCAGTTTTACACTGATCGATTTTAAATTTTAGCCCCATTTTCCTCCACCGGCTTTCACTACTGAGTCACGGAGGGAAGTCACCAGCGAATTTTGACGCACTTTCACTTTAATATCAAACCTGCTTTTGGGCGTTTTTTTAGCCACCCAAAACACTTCCTAACACCATTCCAGAGCTGACGTGATGCACGGGGAATTCGGGGGGGGGTGCGTGGTGTGTAACGAACCCCCCCCCCTCCACGGAACACCCATTCGATAAACAGAACCGGCAGCAGCACTTCCAGGAGCAGCTGCCCCCCAAGTTCCACCCGGGACCCCCACGCTGAGAGCCTGGAGAGGGCAGCTCGAGGCGGGAGTGGAGAGCAGCCGGTTCCTGCCCGGTGGAACCGGAGCAGCCATGCGGCCAGCCAGGCAAATGGCGGGGAAGCCACGTCAGCGCTGCAATGCAGCTGCGGCGGATGCTGCCGCCCGGCTGCACCGGTGACCCCGGTGTGGGGCGGCTCCGGTGCGGCGGGAGGGGATGCGGACCCCCCCCGACACCGTGTCGCCCCCCCCGGCGAAGCGGCCGCTGGGTTTTCCGCAAAGCTCTTGGCCAAACAGGAAGGCGGATTATTGGGTGCAAATAGCTCCGGGGATTAGGTGGGGGCTGGGATGGCCCCCCCCCGACACCCCCCGGTGCTTTCCGTGGCTACACAGCCGGGCACGGAGCTGCGCCGCGTTGGGGGGCACAGTGGCACCCCAGCATGTCCCCTGGTTTATGGTGGCCCCCCCAGTGCTGCGGACATGGCTGAGACAAACCCCACCCTGAAAAGGAGGGGTCCCACCCCAGTGTGCGGACCCCCCCATCGCGGTGGGATCCAGGAGGGGCTGGGGGGTGCAGATGGACTTGGGGGGCTTTGGGGCAGGCTGCAGATGGTCTGGGAGGGACCCCCGGGGTGCAAATAAGCCGGGGCTGGGGGGGGGGAGCGGTACAGATGGAGCAGAGAGGGGGGGTCCGACCAGAGAAGCCGATTAACAACCGGGGGGCGGCGGGGGGCGACACCGGGCGCGGCAGCACGTGCGGCCACCCCCCCCTCCCCATGTCGCAGTTTTCCTCCGCAGCGGAGCCGCACCGGGCGGGAGGGGCGAC